CAACTCAACAAGGAATGACCATCTATTCTCGTATATCTAGACCCGTAACCCTGAGGTCAAAGTAACACTTGTGTTAACAACTTCCCTTAGTTCGACTATCGAGTTTGACCTAAGTCCCCAAAGAATATTTAAGGTAGTCTTGTGATGAGTGTTCAGAATCGTCAATCTTTTCTTGTTATTTCTTCGTTTTGTGGAATTATTGTGCTAAATTGGTCGTGTTATGTTTGTTTTCGTGCAAGTCCTTACTTTCCAGAATTAGTGAAAAAATGAGTGAATTCTGCATTTTATTATTTAGTCATGACTGGAGACATGGGCACGACTCCTGGTACAATGCGGTGTGACGTGGCAGTTTCTAGAAGGTCCAGTCAGCGACGGGTTCTAAAAGACTTTCTCCGCACGCCTTCTGGAAGATGGACAAGCAGAGTTGCATTAGGAGACTAGTTTAAGTTTGAATTTAAATTAAAAAACAATTATCTTTAGGATTATTATTTTTTTCTTTGTTTATCCTTTAGGCTTTGAGAGACTATAAATACCCACTTGGGGTAAGCCTAAAATCATCATTCGGATTACAATCTTCTTTTCTCTCTTGTTTTTATAAAAGCTTTCTCTTTTTACTTTTCTAGTTCTTTTCATTTTTCTTTTATTTTTCAAGCTCTGTTTTCAAAATGCTAAGTATGACTTTTGTCATGCTTCGCTAAACTTTTCATAAGCCGAGAGCTGTCACGATGAATCAATTCCATCGAGAGAATTGAAATAGCCATTAATATCTTCGGAATATCTCTCTCAATCTCTGCGCTTATTTTTCAAAATCAAAACAGTTTTTGAAATCAAGGATTGACATTGGCCAAGAGGTTGTTGCGATTAAACGTGTGGAGGAAGATCTGGCTTATAGAAAGCAATTCGACTTCCTGGGAACACACTTGGCGAGATAGCTTCGCCAAGAGGGATTTGAGATTAAAATTGACGGTTATTAAAGCAACAATCAGAGTATGACGCCACAAACTTAAATGGTAATTGATCTGCGACAATTGATGTTGTTAGAATCATTACCGAAGTCGGAATCAAATATTGCTTTGGGTATTCGGTATACAAGATAGAGTCACGGTGATAACCCTTGTAGGCAAAGTAACCGACGTGTATCCCGGAGGGAAAATCATATTCGATGATCTAAAGGAAATTGAGTCAAAGCGAAGCTTGAGGCTATTTTTACAGTATTTATTCACAATCTCTACTCTCTTATTTTTATTTAAATGCTTTTATTTATTTAATCATTTTTTTACTACTTAAATATATTTTCTTACCAAAATCCCCCCATTTTTACTGTTTCATGTCTGACATAAATAAATCAGACATAAATTTATAATTTTCTAAGTCCTTGTGGAATCAACCCTTACTTCTCTTTACTACGTATTTCCTTTATTTATTGATTGAGAATAAGGAATTTATTTTGACATCAATCGACAGTTGTCAAATTGGCGCCGTTGTCGGTGACTTCGCCAAATTTACTAATTTTTTTGTTTTTGATTTATGACCAGGTCTAATCCGGAAGAATTAGTGGAGTACGACCCGGAGATTGAAGCCAAAGCTAGGAGACTCCACGCACAGACGCTTTAGGAAAAAGAAGACAACAAACAAATCTAGAAGAAGAATCGAATTCAGGTAATATAAATCCAATGGTCGATCTTGCTATCCGGGAGTTAGCCACGACTCCTACTGAGCAAGGGCCTATGTTCATTGATTTTCCCCAAGGCGAAACTCTGTACCAGTTGAAAACCAGTCTTATTCACTCCTCCTTAAATTAAGCGGATTGCCAAACGAGGATCCACACAAACATATCAAGGAATTTCATATGGTCTGCTCCAGTATGAGACCACAGGGAATAACCGAGGACCAAATCAAACTTAGAGCTTTTCCTTTTTCCTTAGCCGATTCGGCTAAGGAGTGGTTATTTTATCTTCCTCCTAATTCTGTTACTATATGGGCTCAAATGACTCGACTTTTTTTTACAGGTTTTTCCCTACGAAAAAGTAAGTGAACTACGAAAGAGAATACTTGGAATCAAGTAGCTTGATAGAGAGTCACTTTACGACTACTGGGAGTGGTTTAAGAAGTTATGTTTAGTTGCCCACAACATGGGTTAATCGAACAAACACTCCTTCAATACTTTTATGAAGGATTATCTCCCCTGGAAATGAAGATGATCGATACTGCCAGCGGTGGAGCCTTGGTGAATATGACTCCCACTGAGGCTAGAGACTTAATATCGACAATGGTCGTAAATTCCCAACAATTTCGTACAAATAATGAACCTTCTCGAAGGTTCATGAGATAAGTTCATCTTCCTTAGAAGATAAAATAGACAAGTTAACTGAAGTCATACTCTGTCTTGTTGCAGGAAAGACAGGACAAAACCGATTATGTGGAATATGTGCATTACTTGATTATCCAACAGACGGTTGTCCACTGATTCAAGACGATGCAGAAGCTCAAGTCAACGTAGTCGAAAACTTTCTGGGACCTCCCCAAAGAGCTTATAATCCTTACGGTAATATATACAACCCAGGATTGAGGGATCATTCGAACTTCAATTATGCTCAGAACCACAGACCGAATCAAGGCTATCAAGCGAGACCTCCACCACCACAACAACCGCATAAGTAATCATTAGAATCGATTGTCGAGAGGTTAGCACTATCCAAAAAATTCCAGACTCACGCTGAAGCCACTTCCAAGAGATGGACAAACAGATAAGCCAACTAACTCAAGTCGTAGGGAGATTAGAGTCACAAAGGAGGCTATCATCACAAACTGAGCCGAATCCAATAGATAAAGCTAGCTCCATTACCCTTTGAAGCGGTACAATTGTTGAACAACCAGACCCAAAGGAAGTAAGCGCAAGATCCAGAAGAAAGAAGAAACTTCGAACTCCAAAAGGGAAGAAGAAGCAGTTGATGCAGGATCCCAGAAAGAGAATGATAAAGAACAAATGGAAAATCTGACACCATCTCCCTATGGCGTGCCACCACCTCTTCCATCAAGGTTAGTTAAAAAGGATAAAAAACTGAGGAAAATGAAATATTAGACGTACTTCGAAAGGTGGAAGTTAATATACCCCTTCTTGAGGTTATCCGAATGTTCCAAGGTATTGTCGATTTTTGAAGGATCTCTGTACGACTAAAAGGAAGCTTACCAGGGTCGAGAAAGTGGATTTAGGTACGAACGTCTCAGCAGTTTTCTAACGACCACTTCCATCAAAGTATAAAGACCAAGGTATGTTTCAGTACCTTGTAAAATCGATGAGGTTAAAATCAAGCAAGCTATGTGCGATCTAGGTGCCTCTATCAATGTAATGTCTCTCTCCATCTAGAATTTAATTTCCACCAAACCTTTAAAAAGGACGAGAGTTACACTTTAGCTAGCCGATAAATCAATTATTTATCCTGAATGACTCATAGAAAATGTTCTAGTAGAGGTAGAAGATTTAATTTTCCCTGTTGATTTTTATGTGATTGATATGGAAAATGATTGTGGCAAAATTGGCTTTGAAATCCTCCTCGGCCGTCCCTTTCTGAGCATGGCAAATGCAAAAATTGACGTTCGAAGCGGTATTCTTACTATGGAGTTTGACGGTGAGATCATAAAATTTTATGTTTATAAAGCAATGAGATATCCGAATAACGTGCATAGTATTAATTTTGTTGGCATTATTGAACTTGTTGATGATGAATCTAACTTTGTTGATGATTTATGCCAGAAATCGGATGATAAAAAAGACGACATAAGGGAGTTGAAAAATATTTTAGTTTTTGATTCATATTTGATCTTAACTCATTTAAAAACTAAAGATTTACTTTCTCTTTTACAAGTACCAAAAATTAAGTCGAAACCATCGAGAAATTGTTTGAAGAAATCAATTTTTGGTAAAAAATATGTTTTGACGTCCATTCTTTTCGACATGATTTTTAATTTGGGAAATATTCGAATAAATCTTTGTGAGAATTTTCAAATTTCTCAAAGAAATTTCTTAGTTGGAAAAAGCGAATGAAGTGGAAGTGTCTGTCACGGAATAGTCTGAATCAGGTCGTCGAGCTAACGATGTTAAACAAAAACGCTTTATGGGAGGCAACCCATTGTTTTCGACACCGCTATATTTTCATTTTTACCTTTTTTTGTTTCGTCAAGCATGTTTAATTAAAATTTTATTTTTATTTTGCAGGAACCTAATATTTTTATTCGAACTTAAACTGCAAGAAATTACAGAATTATGATTCGAACAGTGTTAATTTCAGAGTCCATTGAGAAGTACATGATCGAATCAAGCAGAGAAAAAAAAAGAGTCTCCAGCTGTGCGCACCGTTTAACTAAACGACAGACATTAGAAAAACTCATAGAGGGGTCGGCGCAGGTTAGCAAACCCCATTTTTTCTCTTCCACTTTTTCGTTATCTTCCTACCGCCCAACACCCCAATCCCTTCTCTTCCCCTTTTATTTTACTATGCCATGGACCCCACCCTATCACCTTTCATATACCTTTTTCAATTTTCAAAACACTTTATCATTAAACACAAAATCCATTTTGACTCCTATTCAAACTCCTTTCCCCTCCACGCACGGCAGCACCCAATTAAACCCCATTCAAACTTCTTCCCTTCATCTTCTCTAACTCGACCACCACCCGAAACATACACCACTCATCGCTCCTCATCCTTCTCACCGCCGGAGGCTTCAACAAAAAAAAAATCTACTCGCTTCAATGTGTTCATGCCACTCGTTCCTCCCTAATCTGCTATGGTGCGCTCTGTTCGCCGTTCCTCTTCACTGCTCCCCATCACTGTCCTTCTAGTCCACGCCAACCATAGTCACTACTTCCTTTCGTCCAAAACAGTCGACTTTCCATCATGTTCGATGCATTCGACAGCATCCGAAAATACTCCTGAGGTAAATTTGATTCTATTTTCGTTATCCATTACTAATGTACTATCCCGTTTATGGTTTTACAGGAGATTTAGATGATGGTTTTCCACCGACGACGCCACTTGATAATGTTTCCAGTTCACGGCATCAAATCAGGCAGCCCACTTCACCGTCCTAGCGCCTTTCACTGCGGCAAAGGCTGTGGCCGACATTAAAACCGGGGAGTACTCTATTCCTTCTTTTGCACTTTAATTTTCCGTTTTGAGGCAAAACGCTTTAAGTGAGGGGGAGTAGACGATAGGATTGAATTTCCCTTTTGCTCATATTTATGTTTCGATGCTAGTATGTGTTAATTGGATTTGTCAAAAATTTCATTGATTGTCTTTGTCTTGTGGAAAATTTTTGGAATGCTATGCTTGTTTGGGAACACATAATTGTTTAGGTTAGGATATTATTGATAGAGAATAGCATGAATTGTGATCAAGTTGGTGCTTTTGTGATATTCCATGCCTTTGTTGGTTGAAATGTGATTAGCTCAATGCATGAAACAATTTAGTGAGATTTGAGCCTTTACAAGCATATCATTTTCGCTCTCATTTTGTTGGATTGAGTGTGTTAAATTTGACATTGGTATTCTAGAACCTACATGTTAAATATTGTCGAGATTACACATGAACATGATGCTTAAAAATGATTTGGGCACCTTAGGATTAACCTTTCCGTTTCCCCACTAAATTGCCTACCCATGCTACTTTCTCCTAGTTAACCACTTTTGAGTCATTTCTATTTCTTTATTTTTACCACATTTATAAACCCAATCCTTTTTATTTAATCCTTATTTTCTACCTTTTTCAGGGCAAGTGAACAATTATCCGATGTATGCTCCATGAAAAAAAATGAAAAAATAGCAACATTCGAAAAGAAAAAGAAAAAAATGCTGTTCAAAAAAAGAGAGAAAAAAGACATGAAAAAATGAAAAATAAATGGGGAAAAATAACAAAAGTGTGAAAAAAAAAGAAAAAAAATCAAATGCATTTTTTTGTTTTATAATTAGTCTTTTATTCTTGGTGTGCTTAATGTTTTAATAGAGTTGAGATTATCATTTGTTAGTTCCTTGCCTTGAATATTTAGTCATATATTTAGCTTTTTCCCCACCTTTACCTAAGCCCGTTACAACCAATAAAAGACCATTTGATTTATGTATCGTGTTCTTATTAGTAGTGGAGATTTGATTTACTTGCAGGCCTATGGTAATGTCATGTCGATTCTGACATTGAGCGTTTCTTTACCCCAAACACATTGAGTTATAAGCATTGAGATTGATGAATGAATGGATATTACGATTGCACTTGACTTGTTCCAATTGATGATGTTCAATTGATTGATTCTTGACTTGAATTGTTATTGTGGTCTCTACCTTGCTTCCTCGGATATGAAACTTGATAAAGAACGGTAAATGAAACTTTTGACTAATTTGATTAATCATACTTAAGGACAAGCATGAGATAAGTGAGGGGAATTTGATGAGTGTTCCAAATCGTCAATCTTTGCTCGTTATTTCTTCAGTTTTGAGGAATTATTGCTGCTAAATTTGTTGTGTTATGTTTGTTTTCGTACAGGTTCTTACTTTCCAGAATTAGTGACAAAACGGGCTAATTCTGCATTTTTTTATTTGGTCACGACTGGAGACATGGGCACGACTCCTGTCATGACACGGTGTGACATGGCAGTTTCTATAAGGTCCAGTCAGCGACGACTTTTAGAAGACTTTCTCCGCACGCCTTCTGGAAGATGGACGAGCAGAGTTGCATTAGGAGACTAGTTTAAGTTTGAATTTAAATTAAAAAAACAATTATCTTTAGGATTATTTTATTTGTTTTCTTTGTTTATCCTTTAGGATTTGAGAGGCTATAAATACCCACTTGGGGTAAGCCTAAACTCATCATTCGGATTACAATCTTCTTTTATCTCTAGTTTTTATAAAAGCTTTCTCTTTTTACTTTTCAAGTTCTTTTCATTTTTCATAAGCTAAGTATGACTTTTATCATGCTTAGCTAAACTTTTCATAAGCCGAGAGCCGTCGCAATGACTCAATTCCATCGAGAGAATTGAAACAGGCCATTAATATCTTCGGAATATCTCTCTCAATCTCTGCGCTTATTTTTCAAAATCAAAACAGTTTTTGAAATCAAGGATTGACTTTGGCTAAGAGGTTGTTGCAATTAAACGTGTGGGATGAAGATCTAGCTTATAGAAAGCAATTCGACTTCCTGGGAACACACTTGGTGAGATACTTCGCCAAGAGGGATTTGAGATCGAAATTGACGGGTATTGAAGCAACAATCAGAGTCTGACACCACGAACTTAAATGGTAATTGATCTGCGACAATTGATGTTGTTAGAATCAATTACTGAAGCCGGAATCAAATATTGCTTTGGGTATTAGGTATACAAGATAGAGTCACGGTGATAACCCTTGTAGGCAAAGTAACCGACGTGTATCCCGGAGGGAAAATCATATTCGATGATCTAAAGGAAATTGAGTCAAAGCGAAGCTTAAGGCTATTTTTACAGTATTTATTCACAATCTCTACTCTCTTATTTTTATTTAAATTGCTTTTATTTATTTAATCATTTTTCTTTACTACTTAAATATATTTTCTTACCAAAATTCCCCCCATTTTTACTGTTTCATGCCTGGCATAAATAAATCAGACATAAATTTATAATTTTCTAAGTCCTTGTGGAATCGACCCTTACTTCTCTTTACTATGTATTTCCTTTATTTATTATTGAGAATAAGGAATTTATTTTGACATCCAAAAGACAGTGTCACCTTGTCTATTCTACTAAGACCCACCAACTAGGCACTTGAATCCTCTACAAAAATACTTTTCCTACGTAGTCCTCTTGACACCATAAAAGATGCATGCACTTATGCCTACTAGAGCAACATGAAAAACTTAGCTAGCTGAAAATATACCTGACATCTTATATACGAAATCAACATCCTGGGTTAGCCTCTCTAGGATCTGACAAGCTAGATCGCGCATAGTCGAATCGAGAATAGGCTGATCCACTCCTCTACTCTCTTGCCCGAGCATAGAACACATACCTCTTTGGTTAGGCTCTCTGTCATGCTGAGCTATTGGGACCGCTCCCCTAGGTCAAGCTGAGACATCGTCATCCGCACTAGGGTAATCCCTACTATATGCACCAATGTTCCATATCTATAACACTTTCTAGAGAGTTTAAACACATTTTATATGATTTTTTTCATAATTCTCGCACTTTAGATATCTCAATACTTTATCATAGCCTCTAGATCTTACCACTGACGAAGAAGCTAACGGTCTCCTACGAGACCCTACGTCTGACCCTAGACTCAACTGGAATGACAAACATGTCGTTACTCTCCTCTGCTCATGTGGATCTCTAGTCATTTTTTTTATTGATTGTGATAGGTCTAATGGTGCTTGTCGTGTCAACACTAAAAACACGCTATGCATATCTACCACCAACTTCGTATGGATATCAATATAAAGCCCCTCAAGGAACCTCTTGCACCTCAAGGACTCATTCGTAACCAGTTTTGGGGCATAACGACTCAACCAAAGATAATATATCTCGTACTCACACACTGAGTGATCTCTCTGAACTAACTGAGAGAACTACACTCTCAATCTATCCATATATGCCTCACCGATATTATTACCTCTGAATTCCCCTAGAAATTAATCTTCATAGGGACCTATAATTGTAGAGCCATCTCTATAGTGCCTCACCAATCAATAGCATCACCTTTGAGTAAAGTGGTGACGAACTTTAACTTACCCTCTATGGTAAGGTGAAACTGCGTCAAAGTTCTCACAGTCTCTTTTAACCACAAATCGACCAAAATCAAATCACCATCGCCTGAACCATAGAAGTATATTGTCTTATATCTCTTTAGTCTCTCTACTGGGGACTTTTTTGGTACTAGGGCACTTTGGGTGGTTGGCTGAACAATCTACACTCTAAGAATAACGTCCACTAATTCTTTGAGAGTAAAAGTCAAACCTCTAAATCAAGTCGCCTCTATGACTCCCGCACCTAACGTAATCTCATTATCTTCTACCCTAGGTAAGAACTCATCATTGACGTATCAAGATGAGAGGCTCGACTGTCCATCCAATCCTTGAGGCTATGTTTGAAACTATCGGCCATCGCAAATTTTTACAACACAAACAAAGAAAAGAAGCACCATTAAGATTCTAGACTTATACGAGTACTTTCAATACCTAGGGTAAATATTTACTAACACCTCACTATAACTGACCACTGGGTCCTAGGATTGACTCAACCTGACATTCTGGTACCACTAAATGTAACACTCTAAATTCGATTGGGCCTAAAGTGTTACACTGGACTGCCAACATAACCCATGATTTCTAAAAACTATTCATTTTCATTTCAAAACATACTACATGGTATCAAAATAAACATGCACGACAATTATAAAAAAACATTTTATAAATTAGAGCTCCATGACACATTGTTTAAAATAAAAAATAATACAAACTTAGAATTTGATAAACTAAATAAATGAGTAAGGTTCTATGAATACATATGTCAACTACAGTACAGTACTCCAAGGAAGATACTGGAAGTCTTGCTATGACCATGCTCCTTGAATTACTCAAGCTAATAACCTACAAATGGAAAACATCCGAACAGTGAGCTTACAAAGCCCAAAATTATAATCGTTAATCTAGCATAACGAGTCCCACAAATGTAAGCATGCTAAAGAAATTGTACTAAGAAGCATGTATATGTATGATCTTAACCAAGTGATACCCAGTTAAGGTTTTACTGTTCTATTAATGAAGTAGGAGTCTCATGCTTCCCTTAATCCTCTGTTAAGGCCTCGCCATGAGTACACCTTTATTGGTCTCTACCCACACTGACTGTAATTGATTTGTATTATATAAATACGACACTGGCATTACTGTGCATTATCTGAATGCAACACTGCTAGTATATGATCTCACATAGCCATCAGACACTAGTCAACTAAGGGAACCTGGTATCACATAATATCAGTAAAATTCCCTCTAAGCTATTGAATGATCTCTAGGTCTCTCATAGATATCAAGTAGATCATGGAGGGGAAACTCGGTATCACATAGCATCGTTACA